GTTAACAGTTCTTCCAAATCCAAAGAGGTTAATTTGGATTCTTCTAGGAAATCAATACTTTTTATTCTTTTCTTAATTTTTTTTATTGTTGTTCAATTACAGTTGTCCTCCCACCCTCCAATTACTCTCCCTTGCTGTACCTACCCCTACCTCCAACATTCAATCCAAATGACTGTTGACAGTGACTGTTGAGAGATTATTAATTTAATACATGAGATCTGTCTGGAAAAAGCACTATCAAGCACTTACATTTAACAGGCAAATATAACCTTAGAGCCAGTCAATCATTATTTACCCTTTACTTTATCAAATAAAAACCTCCCAAAACCAAAACTTTTCCTGAGAGTAAGGGCTTTTTGAGACATGCTAGCCAGACAAAGGACTAAGCCATGGGGCATGCAGTCTGAACCACCAGGAGCAGTCCTGGGGTTGACAGGGCTTTCTTTTTTCTTTTTTTACAATGAGGTTGGGGAAGAAAGATGTAAATGGTTTTGAAAGAATTTATATTAGATCTAGATAAGGAATGGTGAGGGCAGGAGTTTTGGGGAGGAAAGACAAGCAGGAAAAGTTCTGGGGAGGTGAATAGTTCCTAAGAAATAAAGACTTTTTGCATCTGGATTGATTGTGGGCAACAGGTTCATGAGTGAACAGGATGCAGTGGCCTGTGGCTGGTGGGCTATTCTTTTTAGATAATTGCTGAGCTAGCTGCCTGGAAGTTGAATCAAAGTTTCAACATACATTCAGAAGTGTGGGCAGTCTTTCCTTGGTTTCTACCTGTGGCTGCTAAGTGATCAGCTTTACAGGTCTCTTCCTCTCACCCTCTGGTCTACTATAATTTAATTTAGGACATCTCAGATTTTTTTCTCATCTACTTAATGAATTAGAGGGCATTTGTTGGGCTTTGCTCCCTACTGTGGTCATGCCAGTCTATTTATTATCAATTATTATTGACAAAATGTTACTAAAGAACAATTATGGAGAGTTTTGGTGAAACTGAAATGAACTTTATGACTACCAGCAAAAATTTCTCTATAAATTATATCATGAGGGACAATATTTCCTTTTGTAATTAGTTCTATTTGCCTACCAAAAAACCTTTTTTTAAAATATATTTTATTGATTATTCTATTACAGTTGTCCCATTTCCCCCCTTCACTCCCCCTCAAAAACCTTTTGTCATGGTAAATTGAAATGCTTTCTTTTTTGGTGACTAAATTAAGGTCCAAAAATCCTTTTAGTTCCCCCTTCCCTGCCCCCCACACACCCAAAGGATGCACAGAGCAAGGAAAGAAAAAAAAAACTCTATATGCATTTTGATTTCTCTTAGGCTCTTTTTTTCCCTTCGTTTATTTTCTTTTTTAATCTAGAACCTCTGTGGTCCTCATGGACCTTGGCTCTGGAGCCTACATATCTTAATAACTTAGCTATTCTTCCCTCTCTCCCAGAGGATTATCCTCCCAGAAGGTGAGGGAAATCTCAAGGCTGCAATTATTTGGAAAAGTTACACTGTTACGGTAATATCAAAGCCTCAGTGGGTAACCATTGCTGATATTTTGGCATATTATCAGATTCCATATGGCTCATGGCCTCTACTTATACTCATATATTCAATACAATCTACTCCCCTTCTTTAAAAGCATTCAAGCATCCAAGAATGCAGGAGAGATGTGATCCTGCAGACTGAGGCCTCAGGTTCACTTTGTGTAACTGTAGAATATAATTCCTGGGTTTAATTCAGTTTTAACGGAGCATCATTTGGAAAATTTACCTTGTATCTATTCTACAAAGGAGTACACCATTTTCCAAGAAATAAGTACTGAAGGAAAGAGTGGTTGTTTAAGTAGATGTAAATCATGATGTAATGATTTTTCAGTATTTATAATCAGAACATAGTGATTAATTAACTGTACGTTTACCCTTTCTAGAATTAAAGTGATAATAAGAGGCAAACATCAAAGTTCTGTTAACTTCATCTTCCCAAATCTGACAACTTACCAAACAACGTAAGGTAAGAATAAATTTTAAGACATGTAAGTTTTGGCAAATAATAAGTCACAACTGACTATTTATTTATTAATGACCCTAGGAAAAACTCCCTTTTGTAGGTATAAATGTCTTTAGTCATACTTATTAACATTAGAATGAGTTTGGTAGGAATAAATCTTGAAGATTAAAATGATCTACATTCTTGCCCCTAGGCATGATTAAAGGAATATAGATAAAATACATAATTTTTCTAAAAATATTTCACAGCCACTTCAGGCTCTCTTTTCACTGCTTAAATACCATATACCATTTCAGACTCTAAGTATGATCTATTTAATATATTGCTCCTTTATGATACAGTTACTTGTATGCTTAATTTTTTGATGGAGTTGGTGAACAACAAAAATATAGCAATAAGTCACCATACCATTTTCCTGTTATTTCTCTTTTTTTTCCTCAGGCACAATATTATGTTTTTCTTAGATTTCTTTATTAAAAAATTTTTAAAATACTTTCCCTGATTTCCTTCTCCCAACTTAGAATGATTTATTCAGAAAAGCTCACATACTTGTTATTACTTTTCAACCTAATTAGCACTGATTATTTAGGTGTGTATTGTAGGACTGAGCATGACAAGATATAATAAAAATAATAATGGCTAATATTTATTGAGTACTTACTCCATTATAAGTGGTGCTTAGTGATTTACTTGTGTCATCTTGTTATATACTATCAAAAACTTTGAGGGTTATACATGGGGGACCCGCCAAAAACCAGAATTATCTTCTGGAGCACAGGCACCTTGTAGTACAGGCTCCCCTGCTAGGTGAGTGTACTAGGAACCCATTTGTATCAGTGTATCAGCTGGCATTGTTGTGAGAGGTTGTATTGGGCTTTAGTGAATTTTCTTTGGAGACTCTTTCAAAGTGTTTGCCCATTTCATGATGTGTGATTTACAAGCACACATGCTCCAGGGTGCTATGTGTTAAGAAGTTTTTGACTAAAAATGGCATGAACCCCATGTGCTACCCTCCCTATTCACACAATCTTGCCCCAAACAACATTTTTTTTTTGTTTCTCTGGATGAAAAAAGTCCTCAAAGGGAAATATTTTTGCTGATGTGGAAGAGGTGAAACAAAAAACTGGCAGAAGCACTAAAAGGCATCAAAATTGGCGAGTTCAAAAACTGAGCAGTGAAAAAAATGTCTGGATAGGTGTATTGCATCAAATGGAGAGTACTTTGAAGGTAACTGAAGTTTAAACATGTAAGAATAAATACACAATTTTTAATAAATAAATTCTAGTGTTTTTTGGGTCCCCCCTTGTATTATTTTTATCACTCCTTTATATGAGGATACAGTGGTATAGTAACGTGAAAAAATTATATCAGTCACTTAAGTAACATAAATTATATAAGCAATGTAAGCAAGTTACATAAGTAACTTGTCCAAGGCCCAGTTAGAAAATGAGAGAAGCAGCACTGGAACTTACCCTCTATTTAAACCCAAACATGTGCTAACCACTGCAGTATTACAGTCTTCAAGTTTTTCTCTAATTCTCCATGCTCAAATATCATTCAGCTTTTACCTATATAATTAATATGCATTGATTAATTGCTATTTGCCAGCCACAGAACATAATTCTGATGCTATAGGAAGGACAAGTTGAAGTTTTGATCATAAGAAAGTTGTTGTCAAGTGAAGAATTATTAATGTTTAATATTAAATATGGTGATAATAGCTACTATTCTTGGGAGCATGATGAATACAGAGATGTTTTTACCCAGGTTGAAGAGTTGAGGAATGTGTTTTGAAGATAAGAAACTTCAAATGAACTCTAAAGTTGAAGTAGAAGGAAGTCAGGTAAAGGGGCAGGGAGGTGGTATCACCCAGTGATTAAGAGCATGGGTTCTGGAGCCAGGTTTCTAGGGTTATAATTCTGTTTTATCCTAGTAGGTGGCCTTCAACAGACTTCATTTCCAAGCTTTAGTTTCCTCATCTGTAAACTGGAGAAATTAATAGCACTTACCTCATTATTGTTATATGTATCATAAAAACATTTAGAAAAGTATCTAGAATGTAAATGGTACCACATAAATATTTGCTAATATTTTACTGTCTAGGCAGACTCATGCATATAAGCCATGAGTAGAGACAGAGTATCCATATTGTTTATACAAAGTAGTTAAAATTCTTAGTTGCACTGTCTATTAAATGAATTAATGATGGATCTGGATGTGATGTCCGGGGCAAATAAGAATACAATCATCAATTCCTTTATATGTATTTTTTTTTAGTATTAATTTCTAAAGAATTCATTTTTATCTAGACTACCCATAGGCCTTTTAAAAAATAATGAGTCATGGGCCGAGGTAATGCAGGGAAATTGTCTTTACAAAAAGGCTTTGGAGGCTCACATGGGAGAGAGATCCTAGAGTGTGAGTGCTAATGATGTTTGTGTTTGGTTGTGCACAACTCTTAATCTTAGTGAGTACATTAGTTACATCAGAATCCAAGGTTTCCATCACCCACAAAAAGTCATTGCACCTCTGAAGTACTTTTCAAATTTAGTTGCTTACTTTATTTTTGTTGGTAGTCTAAATTAAATCCTCAAAGTTAAATTTTCTTGAACTGGACTACTGAAACCCTCAATATTTCCAAAACCAAACATCAAAATTACTTCACAAATGTCATTTATTGAATTATTTTATTCTCTTTTCCAAGCAGTGCTTCATGACATAGAATTTATGCATAAATCATGAATTGTAAGTGTACAGAGAAGTAGTTGTTAGAAATGAGAGAGGCATTTGGGTGAAATGACATTACTTTAGACTCACAGGAAAAGATCTAATTCCACTGCTTATAGGAATAAGAACATAAACTAACCTTTTGATTCATCATCAGTTAGAATTGGCTTAAAGTTAAGTCACAGTAACTTTATGAGGTTAAAATGAACAATGATTACAAAATAGCTTTGTAAATCTTAATACTTTAAAAGATTTTTTGTAGCTAGGATCAAAGCCATGGGTTCATTTATTTATTTTACTTTGTGCCTCTCAGCAGGTTTCTGCCATGGGTGACAGGGGAATAAGCAATCACTCAGAAGTGACTGACTTCATTCTTGTAGGCTTCAAGGTCCGCCCAGAGCTCCACATTCTCCTCTTCCTGCTATTTCTGTTTGTATATGCCATGGTCCTTTTAGGGAATGTTGGGATGATGGCCATTATTTTGACTGATCCCCGGCTGAACACACCAATGTATTTCTTCCTAGGCAACCTCTCCTTCATTGATCTCTTCTATTCCTCTGTTATTGCACCCAAGGCCATGATCAACTTCTGGTCTAAGAGCAAGTCCATCTCCTTTTCAGGTTGTGTGGCCCAGCTCTTTCTCTTTGCCTTATTTATTGTGACTGAGGGATTTCTCCTGGCAGCTATGGCTTATGACCGCTTCATTGCCATCTGCAACCCACTTTTGTACTCTGTTCAGATGTCAACACGTCTCTGCACTCAGTTGGTGGTTGGTTCCTATTTTTGTGGCTGTATCACCTCAGTTCTTCAGACCAGCATGACATTTACTTTATCCTTTTGTTCTTCTCGGACCATTGACCACTTTTACTGTGATGTTCGCCCACTTCAGAGACTGTCTTGTTCTGACCTCTTTGTTTATAAAATGATTTCTTTCTTCTTATCCAGCATTATTATCTTGCCTACCATGATAGTTATTATTGTTTCTTATATGTATATTGTGTCCACAGTTCTAAAGATACACTCTACTGAGGGACGTAAGAAAGCCTTTTCTACTTGCAGCTCTCACCTTGGAGTCGTGAGTGTACTGTATGGTGCTGTCTTTTTTATGTATCTCACTCCTGACAGATTCCCTGAGCTGAGTAAAGTGGCCTCCTTATGTTACACCCTAGTCACTCCCATGTTGAATCCTTTGATTTACTCTCTGAGAAACAAAGATGTCAAGGAAGCTCTAAAAAAAATTCTAGAGAAGAAAAATACTATTCTTTGATTATTATTTCTCTCACCAAAGGTGCTGTGGCTGTTTATTTCATACTCCTTGTGGCCATTAATGAAAGTTATTCTCTTTAACATCATAACAATGTCCTCTGAAGCTTTTACAACAGAGAGTACTCTTCCCATTATTACATCTTCCTTTTCTCTGGAAACATTGTTAATTTTGAACATCCTGAATATTGGACATGTCCTTGATATCAGAGAAGCATTCTTCAAGATGAACCTCCACCCTACTAATTTTGAATAACATTTATTTTCACAAAATTGATTTTTATTTATTTTTATGGCATACTGCTGGACAGTCTTCATATTTTATTGTAGTGTTTAAACAATATTTTGTCTGGTGTTTGTTTTTGGAATTGCTCCTCCACTTATACATAATCATTCATAATTGACAATAATGCCCCTCTTATGTTTTTAAATAAATATTTCCTAATTTTATAACTAGTTTTTTGTTATATTGAATAGTTACTGAATTTTCACTTTGAATCAAGTATTTTGTGTGTGTTACATTGAGAGGAAAGAGTAATAAGAAGAAACAAACAATAAATAATCTTCACTATACACATTAACTTGGGAAATTATACATTGAGTGTGTCAGGTATTGTGGAGTGTTCTGAGGCACTGCTAATTGCTGAATTCTAATATAAAAGACCAAAGTGGGAGATAGAGATATACAAACACTTTGAGTAATCATTCCCTCAGTTTGGATCTTCATAATGTTCCCTGTGCTAATTATTGTTAGGAATATTTAACAATGTTATAGAAGCAAGGCAGTCATCAAAATAGAATATGATTGAAATTTACTCATCTTTGTCATTGAATATTTACTTGATTAATTTTATTGACTACCTATGTAATATGTTCTTGTCTTGTAGTAAGGCTAAGGTATAAAAGGCTTTATTTTTCAAGGAGTTTACAATTTATTGTGAGAGTCACATCTTGGGACAGACAATTAAAATCCAGAAATGTGTATGCCAAAGATAAACATAGAGATTGCAAGGTGGGGTGCTTGAGAGCAAGTGGTTGGTAATCAAGGAAAGTCTTTAGGACTATGTGAAAGATATATTTAAAAGGGGATGATATTTGAGTTGGGAAAACTGCTGTATCACTTTATATTATTGATGTGTGCTTGATCTATGTCAATGTAGATGAAAAGGGACTGAATTGAAAAATTGCAGGTAAAATACACAGAGCATATTAACTCTTTTGTATGAGGAGAGTATACTAAAGTAGTAGTGTCTCACCATTGTTGAACTTGAATGTGTGTGATGATGGCATGAACAGATAAAAAGTAAAGGAGCTCTCACCAAACCAGAAATATGGAGGAATTTTCTTAATTTGACAAAGAGCATCTACAAAAATCCCAAGATCAAATTTTAAATAGCTAAAATCATATTTAATTGTCGCAAACTAGAAGCTTCCTTGGTAAGATTAAGAACAAGGAGAAAATGCCCCCCCTCACCACAACTTTCAACATCCTACTGGAAGTTTTAGCTAATACAATGGATGGGGAAAAGAATAAAAGTGTTGGGTGTTGAATTATATCCTCCAAAACTAGTATGTTGAAGCCCTAACCTCAGTACTGCAGCTTGTGATCATATCTGGAGATAAGACCTCCAAAGAAGTAATTAAAATAAGGCTGTTGGTGGCCTCTAGTGCAATCTGACTGGTATGTTTATAGGAAAGGAAGATTATACCACACAGGGCAACACCAGGGGTGCCTGTGCACTGATAGTTGCCAATCTCAAGAAAGAGAAAAGGAGTGGCTGTCTCCAAGCCAAGGAGGGAGCCCTCAGAGGAGACCAAATCTGCTGGCCCCTTATTCTTGGACTTCCAGTCTCCATAATGTGAAAAATAAATTTGTTTTTTAAGCTGCCCAGTCTGTGGTATTTTGTTGTGGCAGTTCTAGCAAACTGATACCAAAAGGTATATAGAATGGAAAAAGAATTAATAGTCTTTGTTCACAGATAACATAATTGTCTCTATAGAGAATCTGAGAATTGACAACAAAATTCCTGAAACTATTAAGAGATTATAGAACATTTGGAAGCTGAATGGTTAATATACAAAAGTCAATTGCTTTCTATGCAATGAGCAAGTAGAATTTAAAATTAAAAATACTTTATTATGCTAGGTGAAATAAGCCAGTTGGTGAAAGACAAATACCATATGATCTAATTTATTTGTAGAATCTAATGAACTAAATAAACAGATGAACAAAATAGAAATAGAGGCATATACATGGAACAGACTGACAGCTGTCAGAGCACAGGGGGGACTGGATGAATGAAAGTGAAGGCATTAGCCAAAGAACATATACCCATAGTGCACTGATACAGACAACAGTGTGGTGATGGGTAGAGGAAAGAGGGAGTGAGGACAGAGGGAAGTGGGAAGAGGGGGGAGAATGGGGACATCCGTGATAGTGTAAACAATAAAAATAAAGTAAAAAAAAATGGAACTGCCTTATGACCCAGTGATTCCACTTCTGGGAATATATCTGAAGAAACCCAAAATACTGATATGAAAGAATATATGCACCTCATGTTCATTGCAGCATTATTTTCCATAGCCAAGATTTTCTATAGCCATTAATAGAAGAGTGAATGAAAAGGCTATGGTACATTTACATAATGGAATACTACTTGGTAAAAAGAAGGAAATCTTACCTTTTGCAACAGCATGAATGGGCTTGGAAAGTATTATAAGTAAAATGAGCCAGTCAGAGCAAGACAATTGCTATATGATTTCAAAATAAACAAAGAAAATAGAAATAGACTCGTAGATACAGAAAACAGACTGATGGCTCTCAGAGTGGAGGGGGATGGAGGAGCTGGGTGAAAAAGGTGAAGGGATTAAGCAAAACAAAACAAACAAAACAAACAAAACAAAACAAAACAAAACAACCTTATAAAGACAGCAATATGGTGATTACCAGAGGGAAAGGGGAGTGGGGAGAGAGAGAAGAAGGTAAAGGATGGATAAATGGTGACAGAAGGAGACTTGACTTTGGATAGGGAACAAACACTACAACAATATACAGATGATGTATTATAGATTGTACACTTGAAATCTATTAGTTTTATTAACCAGTGATCCCAATAAATTCAATTAAAAACACAGTTACATTTATATTATCACTCCTCAAAAATAACACTCAGGTATAAATCTCATAAAGTATGTATAAGATCCATTGGAGAAAAATATAAAATTCTAATGGAAAAAATCTAAGAAGATCTAAATATAAATGGAGAGATATTCTATGTTCATAAAGAGGAAGACTCAATACTGTCAAGATATCAATTCTTTCTAACTCGTTCTATACATTCAATGCAATTCCAATCAAAATGCCACCAAGTTGTTTCAGATGTTGACAAACTTTAGATATTGAATCTAAAGTTTACATGAACAAGAAAAAGACCCACAACTAGACAAGACAATATTGAAGGAGAAGAATGGAATCAGAAGACTGACACTAAACAATTTCTTGACTGGTTATGCAGCTACAGTAAGACAGTGTGGTATTGGTGAAAGAATAAAAAATAGCTTGATGGAGCAGAACAGAGAGATTAGAAGTAGGGCCACATATAGTCAACTAATCTTTAACAAAGGATCAAAGGTAATACAATAGAGAAAAGATATTCTTTTAAACAGTGCTGGAACAGCTGGATAGCCACCTGCAAAAATGTGAACTAGATATAAACCTTACACCATTCACAAAAGTGAACTCAAATGGGTTACAGAACTTAGTGTAAAACACAAAATTATAAAACTTCTAGAAGACAACATAGAAGAAATCTAGATGACTTTGGGTATGACAATACCTTTTTAGATACAACACCAAAGGCATGATCCATAACAGACCTAATTAATGAGTTGGACTTCACTAACACTGAAAACTTCTGCTCCGTGAAAGACATTGTCAAAGAAAGAAGGAACTATACAGGCTGGGGAAAATATTTTCAAAAGACATCCAATAAAATATATTGAAAATATACAAGGAACACTCAATACTCAACTATATGAAAACTAACTACATGGTTAAAAAAAATGGTCCTAGACCTTAACAGACACCTCACTAAAGAAGATATATAGATCCAAATAAACATATGAAAAAGTGTTCTACATCTATGTCATCAAGGAATACAAATAAAACAATGATTCCTGGCTGGTGGGGTTCAGTGGTTGGAGTGTTGCCTGGTAACTGAAAGCTTCCAGATTTGATTCCCGGTCAGAGCACATACCTAGGTTGTGTGTTCATCTCCATCTGGGTGCGGGTGCATATGACCTCTGGTCTGGACACATATAATCCTGGTCCCGGTGTGGATTCCTGGTCTGGTTGACTGTGAAGGCAACCAATCAATGCTTCTCTCAAATTGATCTTTCACTCTTCTTTCCTCTCTCCCTTCCTCTCTGTTGCTAAAAAAGCAAATGAAAATATCCTTGAGTGAGGATATAAAACAACCCCAACAATGAGATGCCACTATACACCTATCAGAATGGCCAAAATCCAAAACATGACAACATTAAATGCTGACAAGCATGTGGAGCATGCTTGAGTTCTTACATGTTGCTGGTGAGAATTCAAAATAGTACAGCCACTTTGGAAAATAATTTGGCAGGTTTTTTTTTACAAAACTAAACAACATACGGTTACTATATGATATAGCAATTACTCTGCTTGGCATTTACTCAAAGGAGTTGAAAGTTTATGTCCATACAAAAACCTGCACGTAGATGTTTATAACAGCTTTATTCACAATTGTCAAAATTTGGAACTAACCAAGATTTCCTTCTGTAAGTGGATGGATAAATAAACTGTAGTATATCCAGACAATGGAATGTTATTCAGTGTTAAAAGAAAGAGCTATCAGCCTGTAAAAAGATATGGAGGAAGCTTAAATGCACATTACTAATTGAGAAAGTTCAATCTGGAAAAATTATGTATTATATGATTCCAACTATATGACATTTTGGAAAAGGCAAAATTAT